GATCTACATCACCCGTACCTGATCCTTAGTATTATCCCGTTGTGGTAATACTAAGAAGAGAAAATATCTCGCTTTTATCGAGATAGGCACTTCAAGTTTCTAGATCTGATTGCCAGGTAGTCCACGGATATCGACGTCCCCGTCACAGGCTAAAGACCCACGCAAGCAAGAGACGACGAACGGATCTTGTGTTTATTTTTAATAAAGTTGTAACTTTATTTCTTTGTTGTTTGAATTCATTTGTAACGTTTGAAGTTTAATGAAATCAATGATGAAGGCAACTTTCGACGAAAACACGTACATCTATTTGTTGCTCTATGTCGATGACATGTTAGTTGCCTCTATTTCCAGGTCGGCTATAGATGAGTTGAAAGTTCAGCTTTCAAATGAGTTTAAGATGAAGGACTTGGGTGAGGCCAAACTCATTTTGGGAATGGAGATCGGCAGAGACAAGAAGAATGGCATAATTTGTTTGACACATGTGGCTTATTTGAAGAAGGTTCTACAGCGATTCCATGTTAGCATGGATACGAAGCCAGTTAGTGTACCATTAGGAGCCCATTTGAAGCTTTCAGCTGGTCTTTCACCGAAGTCAGTTAAAGATCGAGAGTTGATGTCGAAGACTCCATATGCGAGTACGGTTGGGAGCTTGATGTATGCAATGATATGTACGAGACCGGATTTATCACAGGCGGTGAGCATGATTTCGAGATACATGCACGATCCAGGAGTGGGTCATTGGGACGCTGTGAGATGGATTTTGAGGTACATTCGAGGTACGCTCAATGTTGGTTTAGTTTATGAGCGGGACACTACAGGTGGGCAGTCATGCATTAGCTATGTTGATTCGGATTATGCCGGGGATTTGGATAAACACCGGTCTACGACGGGATATGTGTTTACTTTGACCCGTGCGCCGGTGTGTTGGAGAAGCACCTTACAGTCGACGGTGGTTTTGTCTACGACGGAGACAGAGTATATGACAGTTACAGAGGCTGTGAAGGAGGCTATTTGGCTTCGAAGACTTTTGGAGGAACTTGGTATATCGCAGAGGTCCGTCACTATTCATTGTGATAGCATGAGTGCTATCTATTTGGCGAAGAATCAGGTTTTTCATGCGCGGACGAAGCACATTAATGTTCGCTATCACTTCGTTCGGGATGTTCTTGAAGATGGCGATGTGGAAATTGTGAAAGTCCACACGAAGGATAATCCAGTGGATATGCTCACTAAGGTGGTTCCGAGTAACAAGTTTGATCATTGTCGAAACTTGTTGCATATTCGTGATTGTTGAGGCTGTTGGCGACCATTTGGGTGAACTATGTTCGGTTTGATTCCTTGGGCAAGAAGATACGTAAGCAGTCTTTCAGATGCAGCCGGTTTGGATTAGTTGATGGGGGTGAGATTGTTTGGACTCTCGTTCAGGTTCTCGACTTGTTGTCGATTGAGTCCGTTGTCGTGAATTGTTTCACGGCGTACTACACACAACAAGTGGGACATTTGGTTGCTTTTATGTCGGCTCAGTTTTGAGAAAACTTCACCGAGGTGGAGAATTATGGACGCGGACGTGAACGAAGGCCCAAGGCCCACCCGATTGTTTAAGTTGCTATCAGGAGGCTATATAAAGGAACAATGTTCCTAGGGTTTTTAGAGTAGGAGGTTTGATTGCGGGAGCTTTGCTTTGTTTTTTTTTTCTCTTTTTGCGGCTACAGGCAAAGGAATTTGGTTTTTGTGCGGCTGCAGAACAGAAGCAAGAGCACGGAACAGAAGCAAGAGCACGGAGTTTTGTGGCGGCTGTAGGAGTGCAAAGACAAAAGAAAAGTTGGGTTTTTGTATCCTTTTGTAGAGAGATATTGTGAGTGAATTGAGAGTTTGTTTGATGGTTTAGGTTATGAGTGATTGTAAATCCTAGTTGTATTCTCTCCCTCTATTAGTAGATCTCCTCCCTCCTTGCCCCGTGGACGTAGGCAATTTGCCGAACCACATAAAAATTGGTTGTACTGCTTTTGTGTGATTTGTAATACCTTTTAGGATCCTTCGACAGGTCAATCCTAGAACTGATGAGAGGAAGGGTCGATATCTCACTTTGTTAAGATATTCGCTTCAGATTCTTGTTTCATTGGTGAGACGGGAATTCTTATTACGATCTGACTCTCTTGTTGTGCTGTCGAAGTGCTGCCGAAATTTTCGCTGCGCGCAACAGTAGTTTCTCTCTCCATTTTTCTAGTTCTTGAAGAAGAAGCACTCTCTGTTGAAGAAGAAGAAGAAAAAGCATTCAGTTGAAGAAGAAAATGAAGCATTCAAGATCCTTCGGTCATAGTCATGTCTCAAATACTCTGCAACTAGCCTTTTTTTTGTTCATAGCTAGTTCAACCCTATTGTTTACTAGCCTTTCTATTGTTTACTAGCTTATTGGGCCTAGTTGTTCAAAACTCTGCATTTATAATCCTATTGCTCAGATCCGCCCCTCATCCAGCCTACACCTACAGCCTCGTGACTACTGACTAGTAAACAACCCATTTTTTATTTCTCAAAGCCTTGAGTGTTGTATGCTGCCACACCCAATCCAAGTTGGATTTTAGAAACAAACGTGTTAGGCCTTCTAGTTGGGCCTTGGGTGATTAGTGTTGTTTGCTGGCCCGGCTGTTTCAAGTTGATCATCTCCAAATCCAATCAGAAACGATGCCGAACCTTCGACAAGTGTTGATCCAATCAACACCACTGAGTGACAATCTCGCTCAAATTGGAGCTTCGTTTCTCAACTCACAAAAATTTAGTTCATTTTAATTTATTTATTTATTTATCTAACTTTATTCTTAGTATAATTATCAATATATCAAACTTATACATATTTTAAAATTGAATTTAGTTTTAGTTTTCTACCAAATGGCTAGCAAACTCGTTCTATCAGAACTAGAAAAAATTGACAAATTTAATGGTAATAATTATGATATGTGACATAGAAAAATAGGATATGCTCTTATTCATGACAATATTAATGATGTAATCGAAACCACTGCTCCAACCCTTACTGATAAATCAACACCTAAAGAAAAAAATGGTTTAAACAGTGAAAGTTGAAAGATAAAAAGGCGAAAAGCCTTATGCTCATGTTCATGGAAGATAATTTAATCAAAGTTTTTGAAACTTATAAGACTTCCATGGACATATAGAATGCAATAAAAGAAAAATATGACACCGTCACTGAAGTTAACATTCAACTACTCTTGCATAAAATCGAAAGAAAAAAAAGGCAAAAAGCCTTATGCTCATGTTCATGGAAGATAATTTAACCAAATTTTTTAAAACTTATAAGACTTTCATAGACATGTGGAAGTCAAAAGATAAAAAGGCGAAAAGCCTTATGCTCATGTTCATAGAAGATAATTCAATCAAAGTTTTTGAAGCTTATAAGACTTTAATGGACATGTGGAATGCAATAAAAGAAAAATACGACACCGCCTCTGAAGTTAACATTCAACTACTCTTGCATAAAATCAAAAGATAAAAAGATGAAAAGCCTTATGCTCATGTTCATGAAAGATAATTTAATCAAGGTTTTTGAAACTTATAAGAGTTTCATGGACACGTGGAAGTCAAAAGATAAAAAGACGAAAAGCCTTATGCTCATGTTCATAGAAGATAACTTAATCAAAGTTTTTGAAGCTTATAAGACTTCCAAGGACATGTGGAATGCAATAAAAGAAAAATACTATACCGCCTCTGAAGTGAAGCTGTGAAAGAGGCTTTGTGATTGTATGGATTGTTGGAGGACTTGGGAATTGTATAGGAGATCATTTGGGTACATTGTGATAGCATGTCGGCTATCTATTTGGCAAAGAACCAAGTTTATTATGTACGCACGAAGCACATTGATGTCAGATTTTACTTTGTTCGTGATGTGTTGGATGATGAAGATGTCATGTTGGAGAAGGTCCACACAAAGGATAACTCTGCAGATATGTTGACCAAAGTTGTTTCAGGTGTTAAATTTGGTCACTGTTTGGAGCTATTAATCATTCTTCGATGTTGAAGCATTTGGAGGCTAGTTGGGTGAACTACGTGAGGCTTGATTCCTTGGACAAGAGGATACGTAGGCAATCTTTTAGATGCATTCGGTTGGATTAGTTGATTTCGATGGGGGAGGATTGTTTGAACTCTCGTTTTGGTTCCTGACTTGTTGTGGATTGAGTCTGTTATCATGGATTGATTCCATGACGTCCTAGACGCAACAAGTAGGACGTTTGGTTGGTATTGGTGTCGGCTCAGTTTTTAGTAAAACGTTTGTCGAGGTGGAGAATTATAGAAAAGACGAAGAAGCTCAGGAGAAAACAATCAGGAGGCGTTTTGGAAGCTTCACGGTCGACCGCACATGGCGCGGCGGTCGACCGTGAACGTGCACATGACAGGGTTGGTCTCTGGACTTTTGGCGATCGATCGCGATGGGTTCTGTGGTCGACCGCGCCAAAACCCTATAGGTGATTTGATCTCTGGACTTTTGGCGGTCGACCGTACGATGGGTTCGGCGGGGGGCCGCACGATGGGTTCAGCGGTCGACCGCGTAGCAGGTTTGGGCCTAATTCTGTTTTCTGATCCGTTTCATTATGAGTTGATATATAACTCTAAACATGTTTTTTAAGGTTATGCAAGGACGATTTTGAGCAGTCTTTGAGAGAGTTTATTGCATCCTTTGTGGGAGGATTTGTGAGAGATCTAGAGAGCTTTGTTTGAGGGTTTTGGTGAAATTTGTAACCCTATTTGTAATTCCCTTTATCTCTAATAGTAAATACTCCTCCCTCCTTACCCCGTAGACGTAGGCAACTTTCCGAACCACGTAAAACTTGTTTGTCTTGCTGTGATTTGTGGTTGCTTGTGTGGTTGTGATCTATCTTGCTTGTCATGCACTTTTGTCTGTCGAGTTCCGCTACGCACAACAATTGTGATCCAGTTTCCAAAAAAAAAGAAAAAAAAGAGAAAGAAAAAAAGGTCAACATCATTTCATCCTAAGACATGTATACATCCATACAGTAAATAATTAATTCAGTGTCCATTCCTCTGAATCACAAATTAGTATCAAAGCAGAAACCATACTTGGGAAAAAATACATCTGGAAGCATAATTCTCTGAATGAAATACCAATCTAAGTCGCTCCTATTACTGCTAAACATAGAAACAAGAAATGAATATAAAAACAACCCTAAAAGATTTTGAAGAGATAAAGCTAAATGAGATGTGCAAAATGGTTGTTATCCACATAATGAGGGAAGCTTCATGGAGATATTGAAGTTGAATGGTAAATGACCCGTTCTTCGAATATAATCTGCTCTCTCTGCAGTTCTTGCAGCTTGCTCATTCAGTTTGGCTTCAGCATTTGCTCGCTTCTCCTCCGCTATTCTCCTTGTTGCTGCTAATTTGTTCGCCAGTTTTTCTTGTGCCCGGGATTTCATTCTCTCAGCTTTCACCTGAATGAAAGTCATTTGTGAGTACGGCTGCTGGTAACATAATTCAGCACAAAGTAACACACTTCATATCATCTCAGCAACTAAGCTCTGTGTGCATGTATATATATAAGTTTGCTGATATCTGGCAACAATTTATTAGTTCTGCAAAATTATTGTTAGTGTTACAATATTCTACTCCAAATAAGGCATATCGGTCAGTTAATATGGATCAGTATATATACATGTATTGATGATTCTTTGTGGTGTTGAATCAAAATGGTCACATTTACAAGCTATAAGGAAGAAATTCCACTATTTTTCATGATTTCTCCTGTGAACAAAGAAAATTGCGAGTTTGTCACCTAACGTTTCATTATCTACAAGGGTTAATTGCGGATAGAGCCCAGGGTTAGTTGCAGATAGACCCCATGTAGTTGTATGTGGTTGTATTGCTGCAGATATATCCCCTAAATGATTTTTTTTTTTTGACTTTTGCCCGTCAAAGAAAGAGAGAATTGTATTTCAGAAAATAGACCTTTTTAGGGCAAAAGAGTCAAAAAAAATTACGCAAAATCCTCACTTGGTTGCAGGGGTCTATCTGCAACAATCAGGGGGTCAATCTGCAATTGGGTGATAGTATGATGGTCTATTGGCAATTAATGCAGGTGTGGATTTTCTTCTACATAGTAATAACATTTGAATTCTCTTTTGTGATCAATGTTAAACCAACCTAGTTGAATGTTGTATCAAAAAATGAGGTAATTCTCTTGCCTATTTTCTTCCAATCACACTTTAGTGTAATTATCAAGTTTGCGTCTCGAAATGGATGGAACACCTAATTAAGGAGGTAAGATTGTTGAAATGGATGGAACACCTAATTTAGTCCCACATCAGAAAAATAGTGAGGGAGCGAGTAATTACTATGCGTGTAAATTTCCTTTTTGTTCAGTTTGGTAGTTTTCAGTTTACCCCAAAATTGGGGGAAACTGAAGGGAACCTAACTGACCAAATGCTCACCTCTATTGTTATACATCATATCATGAATCAAGAGGATTATACATGCTCAAGGCAAAGAAGAGCCAGTCACATGACCACAGCTATATATATCAGTTGATTCATCTCCTTTCTTTCTGCATCGCATGGCATATTCCATATAGAAGAACGAGGAAATAATTGAGGACTGATTCACTCCTTAGACAAATCAAAAGAATCTCGAGTCCTTGTCGACGAACTTAGAACTAGCCCTGAACCAGAATTAGCCCCTACAAGCCTAAGCTAAAGGACAACTATTGGTCTTCCTGAATTAGCCAAGAACAGGGCCAAGCAACAAATAGTATAAAGGGGACATTCACTTCCTCTCTGATCTAATTATTTGGTTCCAAATGGGCCTAAAATGGATTTCCTTAATGACAACAGACATGATCTAACTTTCATGTGCACGCAAATATGGCCTTTGATTTTTGGGCGACATATAGGTAAGTTTCAGTCCTGAGTCATTTGCGGAACTCATTTAAAATTTGATACGCCATTCTACCTACCTGCTTGGTGTGATATTGATTAGCTTACGTTCGTCTTTGTCTTTTCAATCTCTAATACCATTTGGCACCTAATCTTATTGCTACAAAACTGCCGTCTTTCTCAACTTTCTCGGCAAAATAAACGAAGTTTGCAGTGCACAACCAAAGCTTGAATTGAATTCTGGTTTCATCCCTTCTGTTGTGCTCAATCACATTGGCCCGTAAGTGTGGTCCAAACAAAGAAACCATAGAAACGTGAATTAAATGAACAAAGTAGAGGATAATTTATGCACTTGTGTACCTCCATCCTCTTCATCTCCATTTCAGCTTTCCTTTTCTCATGATTTTCCCAGGCCTGTATTTTCACCTCTTCACGCTTGTACCTGGAAGCACAAAGCAAACTCAGTGGGAAGAACATTTTCAATGAACTCCTACAAGGATTATTTATCTTACAACGAAAATTTGCCACAGGGAACTGACAGGTTTAAGGAAAATGACGATGCAGAGGACGACTTGCGAAACACATTTGCTAAAGGTTCTCGTGCTAGTTCATTTGTTAAAAACCGATGGGAGTGTGTATAATCATAAACCTCTAGTTATTTGATTTTTTTTTTCAAACTACTGCGGTCACTTATACAGATAAACATCAAACTTTATTGAGCTCTCAGCTGCACAAATGATTTGAACCAGAGATAATATCAATTTACCTTGCCATGTATTTAGCACGCTCCGCCTCATCCCACGCCAATGCTCGATTTTCCAATGAACTCGGGGTCTTAACCTGCACGATAGCACCATTGCTCGATACCACATTTCGTCCAACTTCATCTCCTCCTCTATTAAAAACCACCACCTCAGTATTCCTCTCCAAATGATTCACCCCCAATTGATACCCCTCATTAGATTGGTTCCGGCCCCTCCCAGGACTCGAAGCCGTAGAATCAATAGGGCTCGTCAATGCAGGAGTGGTCGCCCTAATCGGAGTCCCAGTCCTCGAAGGCTCTTGGCTCGCTAGCGGTGTCATCTCAGTACCCACATCCCTCAAACAAACTGATTTAACCTCCACCGGAGATTCAGGCTTGCTCATCCTCCACAATGCTTCATTACTGTCAATGTTCTTGGTTTCCCCTTCATCTTGCACGTTACCAATCGTCAGTACTATGTCTTCATGCAAACCGACATCCGTGCTGCTAGTGGATTCTCTAGCCCTTTGGGAGGCTGAGTTTAGGAGTCTCCGGTCATCGGCGTTGGAGTTTCTCGGCTTGTTCTTGCTGTGACTGTGATCTCCTGCGCCTGATAACCCGGCGAGCCATTTCTGGGCATCATCCCATTTTGAAGGAGTTGGTTTAGATCTGGATCCTAGGATTTTCTTGTTTGTGTTGTTTGATTTATGGAACTCAGAGTTGCAGGAGTTACTACTTTGGTGTGATTGAGCCAAGCTCTGATTGTAACCTCCTTTATCATTCATTGCAGGCCTCATTTTTTTTTTTTCCTTTCTTTAGGACACTCAGAACAAACCCAGATGGAATCTGTTGAAAAAAATGTCTGGTTATATGAAGTAAAAAAGCTTCAACTCAAAAACTCAAATGTACTATTAACTCCAATATCCAAAAACTTTTAGAAACCACAATTTTCTCATCGTAAAGGATGAAGAACTCGCCTGAGATTAAAGCTCCATTGCTCTTTGGTCTCCCAATTTGTCCCTATATATTTGACGCAATCTGTCGATAAACCTGTGAATTATTATGGAGTTTAAGTTTCAGCTCAAAAACCCAAATGGGTTACTTTAAAAGCAACAAGCTATCCATGTAAATGATGAAAACTGACCTGAAATTGCAGCAGCCAGAAGATTCAAGATCTAGCGAGCTACCTATGTATCTAAGATGGGACTATCAAAGGGAACAGAGACACAGTTCCCAGAGAAAACAGAAGGAAAGAGCTCATGCATTGCTTAGTACTAGTGGAAAGATAAAAGGGGTGATTGAGGAGTAAAATCCAAGGTTGTGGGTTAAAAGAAGGAATAATCCCACATCGGAAAAAGGTAAACTTTTGCACCGTAAAAGAGGAATCTTTTGAGCATGGTGACAGAGGAAGAGTTATATAATTCTGTGCTCACGTTCCCTCTCTCTCTCTCTCATTTTTAATATTTTACTCACAGGAGGTTAATGGATATGGTTACTCTCGGAGGAGAGAATAAAAGCTGGTTGCCTCGTTGAATTTGGGTCGGACCCGTTGGATTTTGGGTGACTTCCACGAGCATTTACTCTCGCAAGAAGATATTTTGACTGCGTTAAGAGACATCAAATTGACTCCGATAAGAGCATCTCCAACAGCTTCCCCAAAATTTTCTTCAAAATGGAGAAACAAAAGTCATATTCTCCAAATTATTTTTACACCAACTCCAACAGCTTCCCCATTTTGAAAAATCTCATTTATTACAATAATAAAGCTCTCCCTAAAAATTTGGAGAATGCTGCAGATTTGGGGAAGGCTCCCTATTTTTTCTCCTCCTTCCCTATTTTGGGGAATGAGATGGGGAATCTGTTGGACCAAAAAAAGCTCTATATTCTCCAAATTTGAGTATTTCAAGAAGATGGGGAAGCTGTTGGAGATGCTCTAACAAGTATTTTTTTACTTATTTTACCCAGATGTAATCTCGCTTTAGTTGATTCTTCTTAAAGGCTCTAATCATCACCGCAAATATCAAGTTAGGGTGAGAGTTGAGAGCTATATATTTATATTCTAATATGTTCTGATAGGTTAAGAATCCTTTTTTATGGGTTAAAAGTCTGGACTGACTTAGCGGTATCGGGTTTTTTTTTCTAAAATACATATTAATTTTGTGGTCAACAGAAATTAAACATGAATTGTTCTAGTAGCATCTTAAATTCCGTCTAAACATTTTACCCAAATTACATATTTAAGTGTGGGTTGTGGCTTATATTTTAATCTAACAATTTTCTAATATATTTTTTTATGATTATTTTAAGAGGATTTAGTTGTAAATTGTTCAGAATGATTTAACAATGACTAACTTAGTGAAGAAGATAATATTTAACAAAATTAAGCGACAGAGTAGGATATGTGTTGTCAATCCCAAAAAAAAATTTGGTATAAAGATCTTATTGTTGTTATAAATACGTGATATAGCTAACTTTGTTGATCTCAAAAATTCAGGATAATAAACTCCAAGTTGGTAATTTGATTATCTTTGTTTTCAAAAATAAAAAATAAAAGCCCGCAAACTCTAACCATCAACAATAAACTCAAGCAAATAATATTGTAATAATTGATCCATGTCTACCAAACTGACACATTAATTTATCTAAACAAAAAGTATGGGTTCATTGACAAGTCCTAAATTTTTTATAACAATTCAAAAGGAATGTTCTACCACAATATTTCGATTGCCATTAGGGACAAATTTTGAAAACCATCCTATTTGAGAAAATAATCGCAAATTCCGACCTATTCTAAAAAAAATTGTCAAAACCGACCTAGTTTCAGCTGTCTGGCTGAAACTGGGTCGGTTTTGACAAAATATATTCCAAAACTTCACGACACTTCCAAGTCTCGTGAAGTTTCGGGCTGAAACTGGGTCGGTTTTCACAAATATTTTGTGAATTGGTCGATTTTTGCAATTATTTTCTCAAATAGGAAGGTTTTCAAAATTTGTCCTAGCAAAGACCTCACGCTTCTGCTTCTAAAAATACAAAATAGTTTTTTGCTTCTAGTCGGGTTAGTATATATTAGCAAGTGATAGTTACGAGATAACGGTTATTTAGCAAAATAAGCTATTAAGAAAATAAAATAATAGTGAAACAAATTTTGCTACGTGAGCAGCTATCTAGTACCCATCTTTCTGCATCTAGTATCGTCCTGTAGAATCAACAGCCCTACCATGGGCTGATACAGGTTCACAGGTCACCTCCAACACTTGACGCACGAACCCGTTGTGAGATTAGAATTACCGGGGTGGTGAGAATAAGCAGGTGACATTTTAAAAATGCGAGATGGATCTCATAACGGCTTCTGCCCTGTTCAGTCCCCCTTTTTAAGGCATCGTTGCCACGGACGATGTGGCCCACTCTCCGAAGGGGCCCATGGCCCCACGATGACGACAATTCCTGCGGCCCATCACGTGCGATTATTTAATAGTGACTGTTCGAACTGAAAAAGAGAAGTGATTCCTGGGGGTCTTAAACTATAGTATAATATTATTACCATTATTATAATTATTATTAATTATGATTAACGTGTGTGTGTGTGGGGTTGAGAAAGAGGGGACCGGAGTTTGGGACAAAGTTTCGCAGGATCGTCAGCTCACCCTTGTTCTCTAGTGATGGCACATCTTGACTGATGAATTGTACCTTTGACTGATTAAAACTGACATTATAGGAGATAGAGATTTAGATCAGTTTAGTTGAGAAACCTACTCTAATATATGTACTTATATGGAGAATCTAAATAGTTACCACAGTAATTTATTGTAACATAAATAGTAACTCAAACACGTTCTTTTATGTTTGAAGTTGTTATTCGTGCTACAACGTTTTAATGTATAATAAACAGTGAAGATAATTAAATGTGTTTAGGCCTGTCCAAGATACCCGCCGGCCCGGCCCGGAAATCCGGGCCAGGCCGGGTTGTGAAAAGGTTTCGAAATAAAGCGATGAATTGCAGGGACCCGGTCAGCAAAGATTTCATCCTCGAGACCTATCACAACAATCTCACCTTAGATATCCTTGAATCTATGGGAACGGCACCATCAAAGACCTGGAAGGACCTGAAGGTGCGAGGGGAAAGAGCCGAACGATTCATCAAAAGGAAGAAGGCGGAAAGGGGCCAAGTACCAAATAACGCTCCGCAACCGAACTTCACCCCTAGGGGTAAAGGAAAAGCGCATGCGAACTCTGTGAACGCAAATCAAACATTCGAGGTGCAAGCGCAACCGCAGCAGCAGCAGCAAAAGGCACCTCAACAACCAAGGTGGCAACAGCAGACCCCGAGGCCGAAAGCTTCGGAGCCAAAGTTCCCGAAAGTTTATTCATTCAGAGAGGACGAAGTTCCTGGGATCTTCAAATACCTCGTGGAGAATAATAAAATCAAATTGCCTCCAGTTCAGGATCAGGAAGATGCCAAGAGGATTAATGATCCGAAGTACTGTGCATTCCACAGAGCGGTGCACCACCCCACCAAGGTATGCTATGCTCTTAAGGACAAGATCCAGGCTCTCATCGACGTCGGGGTCATCACGATGAAGCAGCCAAAGGAGAAGAAAGTGGGTGCGAATGCAGTCACGATTGGCTTCGGCTCCTTTCCCGTGAACCAGTTCCAGCTTGAGCCGGTAATAAAAGCAGCAGTGAAGACGGTGAACGATGATCCTCACAAGCAGCGCCAGAAAGGACTCATGCCACACACAGCCCCCAATGGCGAGATTCTTTGGGTTCATCCAGATCTGATCGAAGATGAACAGTGGACTGGGACCTCTTCCAAGAAGAAATCAAAAGGGAAAGGTAAATCTTGTTATGGGGTGTCCGCTATTCCAGGAAGGGACGATGACAGAATTCCTGCCTTCCCACTTTCCGAAGATGAACACGATGACAGAATTCCTGCCTTCCCACTTTCCGAAGATGAACAGGAAGCCCTTGCAACTCGGAGCGGTAACTAGTATCATTACAAGTACCCGGATGCTTCTGAGCAATTAGGTACCAACACTCCTCCGTCCAAGACGTTGGCAGAACTGGGAATAGCAGCAATTCCCCCGACGCCTATAGCCGCGGAAAGAGTCCAACAGAAGGAGAAAGGAAAAGAGCCTTTACGCCAGGAGACCCAAAACCCGAGGCAGTCTCGATTCAATCATCCGATTGGAAGAGACAAACCGGGGAATGCGAACTCTCCACCTCATTTCGACATCATGGCGCAATTAGCCAATATCCCGGCTAGGATAACCCTTTACGAGTTATTGCGCCTATCCAAGGATACAAGGAAAGCACTGCAAGAAGCCTTGAGTGACTCTGAAGCTTTTCTAACTCGGATCAAGCCATCCCCTGAAGGGCCAGAGCCGTCAGCTCAGCATTGCAACCTAGCGGCGCATCATTTCCCATGCATCTCCTTCACTAAAGAGGATATGCAAACAAAGAACTCGAAGCATGATCGGCCCTTGTACTTCACCGGGCACATTGGCTCCAGCATGGTCAACCGGATCCAAGTTGATCCGGGTTCCGCTGTTAGCATAATGCCATTCCGATTGATGCATCATCTCGGAATCCCGACGAGTAAATTAGCCTCCACTGGCACTACGATTTATGGATTCAACACCAGCGGGTCTAGACCCTTGGGGAAGATCCGAATCAAGTGCCAGATCGGAGATTTAAAATCGGAAGTTACTTGTTATGTAATTGATGCAGAAACGTCCTATAATTTGCTGTTGGGTCGACCTTGGATCCACGGTAACCTTATAGTTCCGTCAACTCTGCATCAATGCCTCAAGTACATAGACTTGAATAACGAAGTCAAGACGGTGGTCGCGGATAAGCAACCGTTTAAGGGATTGGAAAACTATTTCACCGATTCCCTTCTATACGGCGCTGAATCCGATACTGAATCACCGGCCCAAGGAACGGACAGCGGAGATGAAGCTGATACCGAAACTGGGCTTGATTACGATGGTGGTTTTGTACTTAATGACATTGTACCCATTGTAATCAATCTTGATGATGAAGAATCATCGGAGAATAGTTGTAATTGGCAACTTGCCGAAGAACTATCAATAAACGATGATTTAGAGTATTCGACAAAATATCGTATGGATGATATTTTTGGAAGTATAATTTTTGAAATGGAGAGTAAATTTAATAAGTATTTTAGGCCTATTCCTCATATTTTTGGTTTGGGGGTTCTTATTGATCCATGCTTGAAGGATATTGGCCTTCGAAGTTTGTTACAATCCTTGTATGGTAATCAGGTTATAGACTTAGATGATGGAACCATCCTTACTGCTAGTACTCATCATTTAGCTATTAGAAATTATTTTCAAACCTTATATGATGAGTATGCAGCTAGACATGGTGTAACTACACAACAGTCTACAGCTTCGGTTTCTTCGAGCTCATCTCGAGGTAAAAGTGTAAGTTTTGATAGGTATGCTATGGTAGCTGAGCTAACTGGTGGATCTGGACTTGAATCGTCATCATCGGAGGTTTCTGAAATAGATGAATATTTTGCTGTTTCTTTAGTTAGATGTCAAGGAAATGCTTTAGATATTTTGCAATGATGGAAAGTATATGTATCAGTTTTATATCCTATACTTTCCACTATGGTTCGTGACTTACTAACAGTGCAGGTTTCGACGGTAGCTTCGGAATCCGCCTTCAGCACAGCAGGACGTTTGATCGACGATCACAGGACATGCTTGGATCTGTATACTGTACAAGCGGTGATGTGCTTACAAGATTGGTGGAGGTACGAGAAGCGAACGCAAGGCGTCGATCGGATGGCTGGAATTGAAGATAAATTTAAAGAATTAGGACTAGCAGATAGATATAAAGAATAAATTGTAGTTTTTATATCTTAGCTTAAAATTTGTAAAGAATTATTTTGGAAATAGTTACAAATGATAGTGATATAGGTGAGTAGGTACCAACCTAGTTGGGATTTACTTATCTATTGTGATGCGATTAATTTCAAAATAAATTTGCACTTGTAATTTGTAAATAATTTATTAATTATTAATAAAGAATTTGTTTTTATCATTTTTAGTTGTAATTTATGTCATTTTAAGTAATTAATAAAATTATTGTTTTTTATTATTTTTCTTGTCTTTTTTTTATAATTTAAAATTTAAATAAAATTAAAAAAATTTGGAAAAAAATTTAAAAAAATAAAAAACACCCGGGCCAGCCCGGAACCCGGCCCCGGCCCGGGGTACCCGGGTCCGGGTACAGGCCCCGGTTTTGCCCGGCCCGGGCCGGCCCGGATGGACAGGCCTAAATGTGTTAAAACTTAGATCCTTCTTTCAGTATAGAGGAGTAGATATGATTTCTAAATCAATGTATTAAAACTTGGATCCTTCTTTACGTATAATTCTAAATTAAATATATTAAAATTTAGATCCTTCTTTAAGTATAGATGAGTAGATATGATTTCTAATTTTAAATATATAATAATTAAATCAAATGTATTAAAACTTAGAGGGATTCTGATAGGACTGAGTGTTCATGTTTAATTGATATTGAGCTCTGAGAGCTTTTCCTACGAGCGAGATTCCTTAAAATAGCTTATTTTCGTAACTGATTTGGTTGTTGCTCGGGACTATATTTATTTATTTATTTACTTTTGCTTTTCATTGAACTAGTGTGCACCCCGTTCAAAGCACGACCCCCTATTTTTTTAAGCACTGTATTTAGCCAATGGAAAAAGCACAGGGCGAAGATGAAAATTTGCCCCTCACGAGGGTCAGAACCACCTGCTCGCATGAGGGATATTCTGATGGGAAGTAAAGTTGTCAAACATTTGGTGCAACTAAAACACTGGAATCTCGTGTAATGCAGGGCAATTTTCACTATACTTCAAATATGATACTACAAGTACACTTCCAAAAACATAATTGTGGGATCTTTTCTATGGAATTGCCGACAAAATTTATGAATCATCAAAGATAGCAATTTTTTTTGGTACAAAAGTAGGTTATTGTTTTATCTAAGGTTTTTCGACATCACTCCCATAAATCATTTATACTTTAAACGTAGTTCCTAGAATCATTAAAATTGCAATCAAGTCTCTCATATTCTAAGTTATTTTTAAATTAGTCTCTCAAATCACTGAAATTACTTTTAGGTCCTCTAGTTCTCAAGTTATTTCCAATTTAATCCTTCCAACCGAGAATGAAAGTAGAAATTAGATGGATTAATTGGAAAAAAACTTATGAGAATTCGGGATCTGATGGTCCAAAACTATAGACATTTCTTGGTAATCCCTGCAATTGTTGCTTCTACTCTTAGTTGAAGGGAATGATTTGAAAATAACTTAAGAATTAGAGGACCTAATAGTAGTTCCAACGATTTTAGGGGCTAATTTCTAAATAATTTAAGATTGAAAGAACCTAATAGCAATTTCAATGATTTGAGAGGCTAATTTCAGGATGAACAGGATTTAAGGGATATCGAAAAAAGCCCTTTAATCCAATAAACAAAGATGTAACAGAGGTCCGTGGAGACCTATCGATCCACAATTTTGCAGGCCCAATGAGCTTCCATCACAGCCCATTTAATCACCAGCAAACTGGGCCCACGTTCATTCTCCGAACAACAGTCGAGTAGTAGTTCGATTTCGACCGAAAATGGCGAAGTTCCTCCAGAGATGGAGCCCAACAGGACTCCATCCGGCGGTCACCCTCAGATTCTCGTCCTCCGCAGCCGC